CAGCTTCGGAACATCACAAACATCAGTGGTTTAAGTTTTGTTTCTTCGTTCTTATTTGTTTGTTTCGTAATTGTTGTTTCACGAGGGAACGGATTTCGTTTAAGAGAATCTATATCATGTCTATTATAAAGGAGATCATAGGGAATCGATAGTCCCACTTGAGGGGATCGATAGAGCAATTCAACATCTGTTTTCAAACGTCTGTACCGGAAAACGTAAACGTCGTTTGCCGTACTCGTTATTTCGACAGCAGCAATGAATCGCGGGAAAATTGTTTATTCCTAGTCACATGACATGTAACGTTGTTGATAAGCGGGGAATTCCATTCTGCGATAAGGTGGTGAAGGATATTGACAAGGAAAACAGCATTATACAGGAGGTGGGAAAAAAACATGTATCAATTTATAGATTTACCACCCAACCACTAGCGACTTTGGTCTTGGAAAACGATAGTATGATAATTATTTTACGAGTATAGTAAGTTTTATTTTTACCGTTTAGTATAATGAAATTGATCTCATATCATGTGGTAACACATTGGATATCCTGATTAATACATTCACTAAAATAGGGGATTGCCTAGGGAAGTGTGCATTGGTAATAACTCGCAGTTCCGAGTGTGGAAATTGATGACGGTCAATAGCTTCTGCAACGCAACGACGAAGAAATACAGGAGTCTTGCTTGCAGAGGAATGCTGTTATTCTGGAGGGCACCGCTGAAAGCAGGAGGTCGTAGAGCAGTTCATACAAGTCTCACAGAATGATGATTGAAGCCTGTATCATTTGTCTCACAATATCGCAGTATCAATACACAGGGTACTCAGTTGAAATTATGGATCCCAACTTTTTTGTTTCTGGTGGGGTTACTAGCTTATTCAAGCTAGTTTAGTCTGTGACCTATGATCCAAGATATATAATAAAGTAGTGATAAGCTAAGATGCACAAGACATAATTAAAGCATGGAATGAGTACTTATAATAGCAATAACAAAGTCTGGAAAGTTTTAGATACATACAAAACAACAACAAAATCGCATACACACTGCACAGCAACTGTCTCAACATAAATTATGCTAATGTAATACATGCACTCACGCACGCATACACAGACACAATAATCGTAAAAATTCGAAAAATATTAAATAAATGAAGCAGAAGACCAATACATAAATACTTATATAAAAAAATATCTAAATACATAAAGCAATGCAGAACAATCACACACCCTGATAAAATAAAATAACGTGACATACAAATACACAAAATACTGATACGAAACTAAAATTTATATATATTATCTTCTAGAAGATACCTTTTTAAGTGGCATTTGAAAGACTGTCTATTTTTTATACTTTTTGTGTGAGCGGGAAGTGAGTTACAGTGTTTAGTGAAAGCGTATTTGAGAGTATAATGATTTAATGTGAGATTGACCTTGGGAGTATAATAGTTGTCGCCTGCAGCATATCTTGTAGGGTAATTATTGGGTAGTGTGTCTAGATATTTGTCAATACTATGGGCATATTGCTTCTTCTTTAAGTCAAAAACGAATAGATTGGTGTGCAATATACAGAGCCTATGAATATTTAGAATACCAAGAGATTTGAAGAGAGGAGTGGTATGGGAACGAAAGTCAGAAAATGAGATTAGCCGGACAATTTTCTTTTGTAGAAGCGTAATTGGATTTAATAGCGTTGAATAAGTATTCCCCCAAATCTCTACACAGTAAGTTATGTGTGGTAATACAAAAGAGTTATATAGCAACAGAAGTACATATTTAGGAACATAGTGTCGAATTTGAGAAATGATTCCAACTTTGTGGGCAATTATTTTCCTGACTTTGTCAATCTGGTTTTTCCATTCATATGATCATCAATTGAAATTCCCTCAATTGGAGACCCCTGGATAAGCAGACTTCCCTCGGTGTTAACAACTCGTTGTGTTGTTTTATTAATCATATAATTTGTTTTCTGTACATTTATTGTGAGTTTGTTAGCACTGCTGCATTAGTGGACTCTTTGAAAGTCATTGTTGATATCGTAAAGATTGATGTGGCTGTCTTTGAGGAATTTAAATAGATTTGCATCATCTGCGAAGAGCCGAAAACCAAAGGCGTTAGTTGAATTTGCAATATCATTAACATAGACTAGGAATAGAATAGGACCCAGAATCGACCCTTGAAGGACGCCACATTTAATTAGAGTGTATGATGATGAAATGTCATTTAAATTAACTGATTGGTGGCGATTGTAAAGATAGTCTTTAAACAATAAAAAGGGGAGTTTTCCCCTAAGTAGTCAATAAATTGTTTATTTACAAGCGATTCAATAGTTTTGCTAAAAATTGGTAAAACGGAAATTGGACGATAATTATTTGTTACCGAACTTTTTTGAAGATTGGGGTAATTTTTGAGAACTTGAGGGGGTCGGGAAATTTTCCTTGGCTCAGTGAACAATTAATTACGGGGGCTGGGCCAGAGATGACGTCAGCAGCATGGATAACTTGTGTGGGATGAATTTGGTAATGTCCAGGCGATTTATTGGGATTTAGTGATTTAATTATATTTAAATCATCTTGTTTGCAAACTAAACGAAAGAAAATAGAGCTTTGGAAATTTCCGCTTAAGTATTTTATTAAAATTGTATGGCGGGCAAGTGATATTGGCAGCGAGATTGGATCCAATGTTGGTGAAGTACGAGTTGAAACTATCTGCAATGTCTAAACTATCAGTTATTGTTTTGTTCAGCGTAGTGCAATGCAGTTTGTGAGGGGCCATTTCGCTCCAGTTTTACTTGTGTTACCATTCGCAGATGACACTTTCCTTGAATAATACCCTTTTTTTGTTGACTTGAGGAGTTTTGTCAGTGTGTTTCTATACGTTTTATATTTTTTTTTGAGTTCAGTGTTTTGTGGGTGTTTCTTCATTTTACTAAATAAGTTATTATTTTATGAATTGATTTAATTAGGGCTTAAGATATCCAAGGTATGTTGGGACTTTTGTGTGTTTTTGTTATTTTTTGTACCTGCATATGCTTGATATAATACTATGAAAAATGTCATAAAAGGCGGAATTAATTGTACACTTGTTGCCATGGTACCGCACTCAAATCGGCCAAGAAATCAAGTTGGTTGTAATTGTTGAAACCAAATTTTATAAATATAGTGTCTGTTTTAAAAATTATTTGTGAATAAGTGGTCAATGATTGAGCTCGTGTTATTTGTTACTCTGGTTGGGGTAGTAATTATATGGGAGAAATTGTATGAATTTAGAAGTGTAAGGTAATTATTGACAGATGCCGAATCTCTGGACGTATCAATGTTCACGTCACCAAGGATTAAACAATGCTTGCCCTGTGCAGACAAATGATAGAGACATACCTCCAAACGAATATGTTGACTGAGAGGGTGGTAGGTAAGAACCAAAGGGGTGCGAGTAGACTGCAAAGTGGGGGTTGGTGTTAATGCATCATCCTAGCCTAATTGCAGAACACGGTGGGTGGAACTGTCAATGACAGATTGCGGGTATCCCCGTAACAAAAAACCATAAACCCATTTTATTAATTTGATATACAATATCAGTTTGATTAGACGCACTCGTAAAAACGGAGAGAATGGTATAAAACTAACATGAATCATACAAAACGTATGAATGTGAATCCGTGGGTTTATAAAACATAGAGGTTGATAGACCATCAGCATAGACTGTTACTGAGATATCTAAAAAAAGGAATACTGTTGATGGAAACAAACATTTAAAGATGGATGAAATGATTATACAAAATTAATAAAATTATCAATTTCACGGCGGGTACACTTTATATTTCAGAAACCCAACACCAATTGTCTGATGATTCATTTTATAAACACTTGGATTATGACTGACTAGAATAATAATATTGTTAATAAGGTGGTAAACAGTCTTATTAAAGATGGGTCGTTGCCATCTAATGCCAAATCTTTGCTTATTGCCCACCCACGTACATCTCTGTTTTATTCACTTCCTAAAATCCATAAAGTTGGTTACCCGGGACAACCTATTGTTTCTGCTTGTTCATGTTCTACCGAATTCATTTCAGCACTTCTTGATACAATTTGTTCTCCCATAGTGCAGTCTTTGCCCACATTTATAAAAGACTCTTCTTACGCCATTAACATTTGTAAAGCATTCAAATATACCGGTATACACCGTTTTGTTTTTACACTGGATGTCAAAGCATTGTACACTTCTGTCCTCATTCTGATGGCCTCAAAGCATTGTCATTTTTTTCTAAATCAACGTGCCAGTCAAAATCCCCCTACCAGCGCTTTGATGCGCCTTTCAGATCTTGTTTTAAATTTAAATTGTTTTTAATTTAACAATGAGTTTTATACTCAGGTTCTGGGCGTTGCTTTGGGCACCCGTATGTGCCTTTTCTATGCATGTTTATTTGTTGGGTACGTTGAAAGAGCTATTTTTAATACTTACTGGCTCCGTGCCAGAACTTTTTAAACGGTATATTGATGATTGTGTTGGGGCAGCATCATGTACTCGCAGTGAACTTGATAATTTTATTAATTTTGTATCAAAATTTCATCCATCTTTAGAGTTCACTACCATTGTTTCCAAAAACAGTATTTCTTTTTTAGATATCTCAGTAACAGTCTATGATGATGGTCTAACAACCTCCAGGTTTTATAAACCGACGAATTCACATTCTCTCAGTTTTTACGAGTCCGTCGGATTTGTTCGTATCAAACTGATTTTGTGTATCAAATTAATAAAATGGGTTTATGGTTTTTGTCATGCGGATACTCTCAATCTGCCATTGACAGTACCACACATCGTATTCACCAATTAAGCCAGGATGATGCATTAACACCAACCCCCACTTTTCAGTCATACTCGCATCCCTTTGGTTCTTACCTACCACCCTTTCAGTCAACATATTCGTAAATTATTTTTGAAGAATTTGATTTACTATCTTCCTCTAATAATACCCAAGATATTTATCCTTCGCCCCTATTATGGCGTACAGGCGTGGCACAAATGTTAAAGATAAATTGGTTCGTACAGCATTGACGGACTCGAATCAGCGACCTGGTACACATTCGTGTGGTCAAGGTAAATGTTATACATTCCCATTTGTTTTGTGTTGTCCGACCATGAAAGGCCCTTTAAAAACTAAACAACTTAAAGACTCTTTTACGTGTACTTCATCCAACATAATTTACTGTATTAAGTGTAAAAGGTGTAATATGCTGTAGTAAGACTAAACGACGATTTGATGATCGTTTTATTGAACATTTGCGTACTGTCAAAGACAACAAGATCGCATATCTCGTGGCTAAGCATTTTTGTACACCCCCCCCCCATGATGGTGTTTCTGATATGACTGTTACTGGTATTTTTCATATAAATGGCGGGGATTCCTCTAGGCACACGTGTGAGCAATCATTATTATTCAAAATCGGCACACTCAGTCCAGCTGGCATTAATTGTCCATTCACCTCATGTCTTTTGCCTTGATTGACTCTTTATTGTGTCTGTATGCTTTAAAGTGAAGTGTTTTTCTGTTTTTCTGTCCACTTGCTGAGGAAGGGTCGAACACGAAACGTCCTGTTTTTTATTCTCCATATTAGTGTTTCATTGATTTGTATCTAACGGTGTGTGTTTTCCGGGCATTTGAGATGTTTAGTTAAAGCTTCACGTCATTTCCGGGCATCATGTTCGTTAAGGGTATCATCAAATTAGCCCTATTTGTAATAACGATTACCATTAGAAGTAATTCATAATTTGTGTGTATGATGTATATTATAATTAATAGTGTAGTTCCCAATATTTTATTACTATTTTTCCTCAACTGGGAAATCAAACAATCATAAAATCCAAACGTCAATAAGCTGCATTGACGGAAAATGCAGACTCACGTTGAAATTTCACTTTACTATTTCTCAAAATTGTGCGCGAAGTTTTCAATACATTTTACAAGTGACAAGTTACATAATTAGTATACATTTACAATAATCAATGTATGTGTGTGTATGTTTGTGCGCACGCGTAGAATTCACACCGACAAGAAACTAATACTTCTACACAAGTTGTCGATTGAATTTTAAGGTCTGTATAATTCTATGTAATGTTTCTAAGTTTCGTCGAGGATTTTTCTGGAATGATTGTATCTATTCGTGAAAATGAAGTTGTTGCTAAGACGATGCCCTGCGGATGACTAACTTCGAAATGTTTCACCCGGAGGGCGCCCCCTCGTGTTTCAATAACCATAGAGTGAACTACTCCACATAACCTATACTGCGTAGAACACCACCAATGTGGGGGTCACTGACCTCTCATCCAGTATTTAACAACATCCACACTAGTTACACTGCACAGATCTCAACTAACAGTGTTGGGTGTACTTGTGAGTGTCAACTTATGTACAAATGTATTTAGGGCTTTACTCAAACGAACGTTTTGTCAGTAAATCGAGATGATACAGTCTCAGTATCAAACCCATTTGACAGGAAAAACTTTAACATGTATACTCATATTTAGTATATGCCCACTCATCTTTTGAGTAAGCCGTAGTATTACGAAAAATAAATAGTTAGGGTGTGATGTTTAATAACCGTAGCTAGGCTTGATGTGTGTTTGTTTTATTTGATATAGATTATCGTATAAATGGAGAACCCTACTGTCTACCCCAGTCTCCGTGGAAAAACATTAGCACTAGTAGAGAGGATAACGAAACACATCATTATATTACAACAGAATAAATATACAACAACTACGCCACAAACATTTTAACCGACTGTTTCACATTTTATCACACCGCACGAAAACAAATAATTTCATTACAAAAATGTTCAGGGACTACTGGAAATCTTGTTACTCGAATCATTGTCGGGTGTTCAGAATTTGTTTAGTATGATTCTTAATGCATGCCTAGGACTCTGCGTCATCACGGTTATATTCAACTCAAAAGTTTAGCAACCGAATGCGATATAACATCTCAACAATCTTTCTAAAACAGCTCTTGTAATGCCACAAAGCTTGCCAGGAATGGTTTAAGGTTACTTATCAAATATATATTGTTAAATTTCTTCACAACAGAATGTTTAAACGAATATTTATATAATTCAATCGCAGAAACGGTTACCCGTGTAGTGCAATGGAACGGACAATATGTGTCAGGTGGTCGTAATGCAGTGGATTGTACATCGTGCCGTGTGTGGTCGTGATACAATTTTTATAAACAATCGACTAGACACATACATTTGGCACTTGCAAAAAAACCGACGCTCGTATTTGAGTTATTGGTATGACTTTTTCCTAAAAATCGTCATAGTAACATCGTATATCACAGTTTATCACATCTCACTGCTGTTACGCATGCTATGATTGGTTGAGACTCGGTCACATGACATGGAATAAAAATGGATATTACATGGTATATTGCCCGCCAAGTGGATATTACATGGGTATATCACATGGATGACGTCACTGAAACTACTGCGCAACGATACTGCGCATAACAAATTGTCGTTCGCTGCACTGGTGCTGCTCTGGCCGCTGCTGCTTTCGGGGTTGCTTTCAGGGTTTTGAAGGAACTTTGCCCATCCGAAATAGATAGTGAACGTGCCAGAATGGATATTAAGTAAGATACTCTGTTTTGATGTATAGGGTATTTTTTATATGGAGCGAAAATGTACGGCAAAGCCGCCACTGAAACTTTGC